TTGGTTCCTTGTTCTCTTTTGAATTTATTCAATTCAAAGACCGGAAATAAACAACAGAGTGCAAGTTGAGAAAAGAGATGTGCATAAACTACTTCCTAACTATGTTGCAAGCACTGTCAACTGCGGCTCTCCAGCTTTAGTTATTGATATGCGTTGCCTATTTACATCACCATTTTCTTGTTAGAATGGAGAGAGATTCGTATTGAAAACATATTGACAACTGTATCAGCAATATATTAGCGCCTATACTAGTGCCAATAATAATATGAAAGGAAAACTAATGAAAAAGGCTTGAAAACTTTGAGTTTTAATGATAAGGACAAAATAAAGGGTAAAGTGAATAGTACCAGGATTGACTTTTTAGTGTAAAAATGTGGTTTTTCGTTAAAGTGAACAGTACCGGGTGCTTTTCGTTAAAGTTCCCTAATATGAATGCCATAGCAACAGTTGATGTATATTGATATGCTTTTAATATTGTTGTAAATATATTGTCGATATAAATCCCTCTCATTACCTTTTCTCCTTCCGAGCGGTCATAATTTAGCAAAAGCTTACACTCAGCACAAGAAGGAAAGTTTCTTTATTGATGCCTTAAATCTCTGAACCAACCGGAGACAGCCTTTGTTACTTATCACTTTAATGGATTTTAGTTCATCTAATCAATAATTAAGTTTGCGTCTTATGGATCATAACTCTATATTTTCAACATACAATATTCATCTTGGCAACCAACGCAAACAGATTTGATATCCACAGGCATTTCATTCTCTTTCTGCCTACCTTTATATGCAATTTGCCCACTCAAAACAAAATTTTTTTTTTTTTGAACAAACGATATTATCTACACTAAAGGATGAAGGAGTGTGTTATGTCTTATAATGAGTTAGCAATAATGTAGTTCAAATTCACCTTTAATAAGAATCGAATCTAAAACATCTTACTTACAAATAAAAAAGAATATCACTACACCGTACATCTTATCCAAGTTCACCCACGACTTGGGGCCCCGTCTCAAAAGAATAATATGGCGTTTGGCACCACATCCCGAATGGTAATATGGCTTTCGGCACTACATCCTGTATACGAAAATGGCTTTCGGCACTACATCCTGTATACGAAAATGGCTTTCGGCACCACATCGGCACATCCCGAATAGTAATATGGCATTCGGCCCTATGGTGATATTTCGTTCGGCAAATACCCGCCAAATTTAATGGATTAATTCGGCCAAACAGGGCCGAGGTGCTGTTTTTTTTTTTTTTTTTTTTTTTTTTCAACTCTCTTAATTGTTTATAATGAGTTATCATATGGATTCGACATAAGAACAAAGTGTTGGTTGTCGACTACAAGACGCCCTCTCCTCCTCTTTTATCTGGGCTTGGAACCGGAAGCTTAAGATAAACTTACACAGATAGAATTAATTGTTTATAATTAACCATAATTACTCATAATTTTTCAGCCTCAAACAATAGCATTTTCTTGCTGCATTTTGTCCCTAGAAAATGTTATGATCACTAATGAACTGAAAACTCAGAATTAACAGCGTTGCATCATCTTGTCCTGAATATGGACCAATCCGCGTTCTCCTTCGATGACCTTCCCCGTCCCAACTGAGAAAAGTTTAGGTAACATTCCATGACAGAGTCTTCATCATACTCTCATCATTTCTTCAAAATATTTCATATATAAAAACTTTGCTGAGTCTGAGTCGACATGCACATCATTTGCGCCCTCTTCAACTGTATCACGTACCTGATCTCCACTTCATGATTTGTACAGAAAATGTTCTTTGCGTTACAACATGAGTTGCTTTCTTTCGACCAGAATTGCACTAACTTTTCACCTGATTAGAGATACTGTTTTCAGGAAGCGAGAACTTCAGTCGCTTTCCTTTCGCTTACTAGTTTTTTGGTCGATTTTCGCTAACTAGTTGATAGCCATAATATTCAAAGAAGCTTTAGGGGGTAGGGACAAATGATGATAAAACACAGTGCTCGGTCCACTTGCAGTAAAGAATTAAAATAGGAAGAGCAACACGACATGGTGCTCCAAGATTATGACCTCCATAACCAAAATCTTCAAGTAGATAATCCATCGATCTGTTTTCGTGTGACGTCCACGGTCCACGGATAACTACCCTCACTATCTGCAAGTGAAATTCCTTTCTATCTTTTAATAATTTACAATCACTGTAACATCGTTATATTAAAAGTTTAAAATGCATTTTGAACTTAAATATGCACTACTTAATCTAAAACATTGGAACTTAGCGATCGTTATCTGAAAGAATTGATGTTACAAAAGAATATGGAATTTGGGTTCTCAGTTCTTAATCAAATGATGTAATCTTCAATAAACAAGAACATGAAATTCTGCAATTATTAGCAAAACTTGTGAATCAATATGACGCCAAGAGTACGCGTCTTATTCTTCTCTGACTACTCATAAACTCGAAAACTCTGCTCAAGAATCAATCTTCCACATTGATTAGTTGATGTTATACTATATATTTTATACTAATTTTAGTGTTAATTTATTAGTTATTTTGTAAGAATTTTAATACTTTGAATTATATATCTAGTGTAGGACATTCGATTTTCTCTTGAGAAAAACATGATCAAACGAACGAATTTTGGAGTGATTTCAATTGGACGATGTTCGTTTGTCTTTCAACTTGTTCATGTCAAAGTTTCAGATTTTTCTACCAAGTGGTTAGATATGGGGATGAAATAAAGGAGCACCGTGCAATGCTGTCAAATTAACGTTTTGGACTTATTTGGGCTTTTTGGCATCCAAGATGGTGTCTTTTGGGTTTGAGGCTTTCTGCAATTATGTTCGGGATGTTCTAAGCTTTAATTCTAGTCATTTTGGACCTGTTTTGGAGCCCTGAAGATCCAAGAAACGTGGCTGATTTGTGGATGGGCAGATTTCCATATTTGATTAGGATTATGTTTCCTAGTTTCTCTAAACTTAGCCATTAGAGTTTTAGAGAAGAATGCATTATTTTGGAGAATTTCAGACTTTTTACCTACAAGGTGTTTTCTATCCATGTTCTTAATAACATTTTATTTTATGATTGTTAGTAACTAATTATGTTTGCTAGGGCGAGGCCACGGGCCTTAGTAAGAATATTTAATTTCTTTTCTATTTGCTTATGATATTATGTATGCAAGTTTTGAATTATTAATCACCGTGTTTAAAACTATTTAATTGTCTTGATAATTGACCATCATTGAGATATTTAGAAAAGTAATTTGATGCAATTACCTTGTACTCGTACTAACTACTATATTAACGAAGAATCATGTACAAATTGGCCATGCTGCAAGGAGCCATTTCACACGTGATATAATTCAAGGGAAGCCCCTTCCAATTATTAGCAAGAGACCAAACTTAAGAACCCCAAAAATCATGAAACTCAGCTTCTAAATCAAATCGTTCTTTGAGAGACTTGACAATTCGCGGAGAAACAAGATAACAGAAGACAATGGGGTAACCCCTTTTTCCTGAGTTCTTGGTCCTCATGAGCAAGCACCTCCTGCATTAGATTTCTCCAGATATACTAGATGTCTATGCCTTTTTGTCATCTCTTTCCGCTATGGACGGAAAATGTCATATGGTTTATGGTAATACAGAAGTTTAATTTAGTTATGCTCAAAAGTTGAACATGTCTTATACTTTTCTATATGGAATCGAAAATGTAAAACACAGTATGTTTTTTTTTTTAATTTTTTATTTTTTTTGTAGAGACGGATTAGGCGAGATTAGCTCTTCGTCAACAGTCACGTGCGAGGCACCAACCCTCTCCCAAAGGAGAAAGGACCGTTGCACCCAGAAACCCCCACCCGTCCCCCCTCTACAAGATTTTATTAATAATAAGAAGAAAAAAAGGAAAAGTAGAACAAACGGGGGGACTAGGCCAAAACCCGCTAAAAACAATTAATGAAAATGATATGGACTAGGTTAAGGGTGCTTAGCTTCAGTCACCTAAAATTGAATTCCCATAATTCAGTTGTTTATATTTCGTTCCCAAAATCCTCTTCCATAGCAACAATTTGCTCCTCATGAGCTCGAACGGAAGAATGGAAGCCCGACACAATCTCTTCTATAAGACGCATCAGCAAAATCGGGTACCAAGTCCCACCACGTAAAGCTACTATTCATTGCACCAAAATTAGCAAAAGCATCCGCCAAACAATTCTCTTCCCTGAAAATATGCGAAAAACGCAAATGCAAGCGAGCAATATGCCATAAACATTTTGCCCAAGAAACTTTAAGAAACCATGGAACATCCATGGAGTGAGCTGATAGTAGGCTGATGACATGCATAGAATCAGTCTCTAACCAAATGTTATGCCATTCTTCATCCCATGCAATCTGAATTGCCTCGATGACAGCCACAATCTCCGCAACAACTGCACTTGGATAAGAAGACAAGGAGGCAAACGCTCCTAAAAAAAGACCACTGGAGTCACGAAAAACACCACCACTACCCACTTGACCATTCCCTTTACAAGACCCGTCTGTGTTAATCTTAATCCACCCAACAGGAGGCGGATGCCAAAACACAAGCATGAAACTAAGAGCATCCAAAGAAAGGGATGAAATTCTTAACATGGAGAATATGGGAATCGATACACAACCAGTGAAAGAAGAAAAACAAGTAGAAGTTGATTCCCTCCAATGCCGTAAAAGACAAAGTTGGGACTCGACAATTCTGAAACTTTTGTTCTCAAACCTAATCTTGTTCCTTTCGTGCCAAAGCCACCAAAAGAAACTGCAAATAACCAATAACCAAAGTTTCCGAACAGATGTGGGGAAAGATGAGACCAAAGAACCATAAAAAATATCTTCAATGCATTGCCAAGGATCATAAGGCTTGCCATGTTTAGAAAGCACTCCTTCCGTATGTATATCACTTACAACCGGCCTCTCAATTTCAAAATCACAAAATGTACACGAATGCATCCATCGTACAATCCTAAGAAGACATGTTTTTTTTGGTAAGATTAATATACAGATTCAAAAATTTACATTGTGTATGTTATATGTATTAGGAGCTGCCAAAATCAATTCAATCTGTTCACACCAACCACTGGAGAAGAAAAAGTCAGGATACTCTTTACAGAATTTTTTTTGCATAGCACGTTCAAAACCGATGATGCATGAAGTTCATCAGCATCGCTGGATCTTGATCAAAGCCAAAAGTGCAGCATTGCCTGTTCAATAAAAGGAGAAGTGGAAATAAGTCCTCAACCTCTGCATTCAAGGCGAACAAGATTCATGCTTAAGGGAAAACGCAAGAAAATCATACCTCCATAACATTGTGCAAGGGCTCATCATCCTGGGGACGGGGTTTCTTAGGCTTCCAACTACGCATTTCGGACTGTATTAAATTAAGATGCTCGTGTATCTCCTGGAACAGCTTCAACTCCTCTTCTCCCGCATGACTAATTTCTTGCCTTATATTATTCCTTTCTCCCTCGAGCCGCTCTATTCTCCTCCACAACTGTTGAAATTTCGCTTGCTGAGATTCAGTAACCCCACCACTCACCGCTTTCTCCCTCACATTCGAGTCAGCACTACTTATCACATCTCTTGGTTTAGGTATTTTGTTCTCCTGCTTCTTGGTATGCAACATTTTCTTTACCCTATCCGTTTCATCTCTAACATATGCTTCTGTCGTCTCACCCATGACCAAATCCGGCTTACCAAGCCTCTTGTCAAGTTTCACAGTCAATGCACTACGTTCTTTCTTCTCTCCTTCACCAGCTTTACTGTTTTCATAACTTTGTGGGACTTCGAAGACATCATAGACGCTTGAGGAGCACGAAGGGCTAACAGTCAGCTCCCTTCCCTGTAGATTCTCACTCTGCTTAAGTTGATCCAAACTAGCAATAATTTCTTCACTGTCGAGTTCATTTTTTGGGCTTATGCATATCTTCGGAATTGGAGGCAATGAACAAGTCCTAGATGGAGGACCCTTCAAGAGTACAGATTTTCCCCTACCATAATCTTTATAATCGGATATCTCTTTCACTCGCGCATCTAACTTCTTAATCTGCTCCCATATTGTATTCATGTTCCCGCCTGCATCATTTGGAAATTTCTTCTCTACATCTAGGCTCTGGACATTGACTTCCTGCTCCACCTTCTTCTCCTGTATTTTTGTAGCAGGTTCGGGTTTGGGGATCATTGGTCTGTCTCTATCTCGTTCTCTTTCTTTATCTCTTTCTCTTTCCATAGTGCTTTTCTGTTTGAGCAATTCCTTGAGCTCAATTGGAGGTAGAGAGTTGATTCTTCTAATAGCCCCGCTAACACCTGTTTCCCCACTGCCAAAATCGCATCGAGAGTTGATTCTTCTAATCGTCCCATTAACACCTGCTTCCCCACTTCCAAAATCATTCCTTTGAAACAACAGATTCTCCGGATATACGTTTTCACCAGCGCCTAACTCCGTGCTGCAGCCCATGCTTAAAAGCTTGTGCCTATAAGCCTGAAGTTGGAACTCAAGCGAAGCAATTTCCATTTCTTTCTGATAAATGAGATCTTCGAAAATGGCAAGAGCTTCCTCGGAATGACAAATCTTTTCCTCCGCCAATCTCTTGTATTGACTCGCTTCCATCTTCATAGCGGACTTTTCTCCTTGCAAACGCAATATCATGGATAGAGCTTCATCAGCTGCAGTAGATGATGCTTCTCTTTCCTGATCCAGATCATAGTAAAGCTTTTGCAGCAGTTGCTGCTGTGCTCTAAGCGCTTCGGTTAGCGTTGTAATATCAGTTTCAGGCATCCCACAAGGCACACTACCCTCCGCCATCTCAGTTCTATGGCAAAAATCTGACTTCCAGAAAGAAACAAAGCTATTCAAAATCATCAGTATTTACTTCAAATTCACATAGACAGTAACAAATTTAAACTCCATTTGAGGTTCCTAAGAAATGTAAAACTAAACTATTCAAAAACATAAGTGAAGAAACTTAGCTCACGAACCACAAAATTATACAAGTTCGATGAACACAACAACAAACTAACCCGTACCAGCTGTAAAAGAAGAAGCCAATATTGAGCATACATTTTGTGAGACTATTTATATTGAAACAATCCTTATGATTCCGTATTAAAACCAGCGTAGGAAACAGAGACACAATTCCAATCCAACTATGAGTGCTAAGTATCAAGATTTAAAACACTATAGCCGGTTTCTAGCACTCTCAATCATACTCGTATTCTAACAAGAAATTGAAAACCACAGAAACAACACATACAAAGGAACCGAGAAGCAAAGTCACATTACCTGATTGCTGCGCAAGGGGCGAAAACTTGATCCTCGGAGCCAAACCCAGTTGAGAAAGTCACTGCGTAAAGAACCAACCGTGTCAAAATTACTTCTTCTACAACATCGAAAAGGAAAGAACACAAACACGAAGAATGGGAAAACATATAAAAAAAAACAAATTACATGCAACTTGTTTCTGCAGAACAACGAATTAAGACAGAAGCCGGAAACGGAGAAATTCTCTATCCGCGCTTTTCTGTTAAGGAACAAGCATAAAACAAGTCCACCTTCTTTTAATCTGCAATCAATGAGAAAACGCGGAACATCAACGAAACGCCGCAAATGCTTAATGGTTGGAGCTTCCCAGGTTCAATTAGGTTCTTCATTCTTGTCCAGATTAACAGCATGCACGCAAATGGGATTTAATGCAAGTACAAAAAAAGGCTAACGTAAAAAAAAAAAAAAAAAACCTACCAAAAATTGAATCTTTGTTATTTGCCTTCTTTATAAAACAGCAGCGTAAGCAGAAGCTTCGGACATATTCTGAAACAGAAAGCATTGAATAAGGTTAAACATAACTGTCCTTGCCTTTGTTTCCACGGAGGTAAATCACACGACAACATCGGCAAACACAAAATCTCTCTTCTTTCCGATCAACCGAACAGATCAAACCAGAAACGATGTCGTTTTACCTTCTCTCCCGGCGATTCGAGCTTCCCAGAACTTTCGATCGCTGTCTCAAATCTCAATAGACTAATAATCTAAAATCTTAATCCAAATTAATTTTTGTTAATCACTGCGATGTGGGACCCCTTCTCTTCCTTTTCTCCCGCTACCGTTTTTAAAGGGTCCGTTTGATATTTCAAAAAGTCGTTAGTAGCTGGTTCAACGGTTACAAATTGTACAAGACGGCAGCAGGGTCCTAGATATAACCCAGTATGCACCGACCACCTGAAATATTTATATTTTGAGAAGCAGCCGACCACATGATATTTATATGGAGATTCGAGATGGGGATTGGGACACTAAGGTGTCGGTATCCAAGTTAATTCTTTTTTTTTTTTTTTTTTACCGGGTAATTCCTTATCTCTGTGCATGTGGTCAACCATACAAAATTTCCGATTTTTTTTTTTTATTTAGAGAAATGACTTACATGCACTTGATCATACTGACATCTGAAATAATAATATAGCATTGTGCCTAAATTTTCGCAAAGTGCATGTAAGTTTCTTTATTTTTTGCGTGTGGGCAGACAATGCATAAATGGCTTGCACAAATTTAGTCCAAAATAATTAAAAGGGAAATTAAATGATATAAGAAAAAGCTTCCATGTGGCCCATTATTTGCTTGTGATTTTGAATTTGTGGGTTATCCACATGACACATCCATGATTCATGCTTGCATCATGTTCTCATCGAGGACAGGATGTGTTCATAATTTTAAAAGGGCAGTGCCAATCATACATCTATTTTTACTTATGTACATTTTTAAAATTTTTATTGTCATATCAAATGAATTGAAAAAAAAATTAATAATTAAAAATTAACAAGGTGTGTAGAAGTAGAAACGGATGCTTGAGTAACACTATCATTTTATTTATTTTTAAATAGAAAAAAAGTAATGAACAAGGAAACAAAAGCGTGCATGACATCTTCATGAATGGACGACAAAATAAGAAGAAAAATGATGGCAATAAATAAGGTGGGGGTATGGTGGGGCGGGTGGCCCGCTCCGATTCAGTCCAGTCCGGCCGGCCCCCAGTCCAGACAAAGTACTCTGACTATTTCACAGATTAGTACTGTTTGCAAATGCATGTCTTAGTTTAAGAGAAGAGATTCTTTCCTGATCTTTTTCAATAACATCACCAGATTAGATGATCCAGATCTTTAAAATTTTATTTAGCGATAAAAAATTATTATAATTTTTAAGGGATCAAAACAGGTAGACCGTTAATGAAATTTTAAAGATCCAGATTATTTGATTCGGTGACCTTGATGGAAGAGATCCGGTTTAGCATGTATAAGACTTTTTAGTTAAAATTGTGTTTGAAATTGACATAACTCTTTAGCTTTGTCTTAACAATGAAAATCGTAAAAGTAATCTTCGTAAAACATTAGTCAATTATTCTATTAATGTGATGATATGACGTTGCATGGGAAGAAAAGAGAATGGAAATAGAAGAGAAGATAATCCTACTCCTATAGTGACTTGTGAATTAACCGTATATTTTTTTCCTTTTCTTAATATATAAAACCAAAAATGAGAACTTAAAAAAAATCATCATCTTTATCTGGGGAGTGAACCCAGACCAAAAATGATGTGACATGTGGTTAATCCACTTAAACTATTTTTTTTATAATTAAGAAATGATAAAAAAATATATGATTAATCCACATGTTACTATATGGTTGGATTTATAGGACCTAAGCAGTGCTACATGAATAATTGACGAATTTTTCAGAGAAATACAAAAATGATATATGATAGACAAGCTCAGAAACCGCTTTTATCGATCTTTATACTAATTTCAAGGACTATTTAGCTAAAAAGCCCAGCCTAAAAGAAAGAACAGGATGCACAAACAGAGATCATTCAGGAACAAGAAGATCTGAAGGGACATGTGAACTAAAGTAGGCGAAGAGTATGAGCACGGTTAGCTAGTAATAATGAACGGTGGATTCAACACCGGTGCCGTGCAAGATGCATCTGGAGAAAGATAACACACTGACATGATCGTTAGCCCTGGTATTCTTAGACGCTCGCAAGAACCAAATACTCCAATGAGCGAAGCTGATAACACTCGTATATGAACCGAAGCTGTCTATAAATTACGTTATAACAAGCAGAACTGGCGACAAATCGTTTCCATCTGATCTACTCCATAATTCTCGTTGTTCGAAGGCTCAAAGCCATGCAATAGATAAGAGAGATTGTTGTGCCTCTGCTTTTGACCCCGAGAAACCTAGCTCCGAGATTTGTCAATCTCATTTCAATCCACCGGAACCTCGACCTCCATCTTCAAATCAGAGTTGCCAAGAGTCTGTACACAATGAGGAAGAAAAGTTTGACATCACTTTCTTATTTTCGGCATACATATAGTGGTTTTGACAAATTTGATAAGTTAAACTGAAATTCAATGCATGTATGATTATTCAAGTAATGTTTGCGAAAGTATTAACTAATCTGATTAGAGAAGAACCAAGAACAAATAGACAATTAAGTTGTCTTACACTCTTCGGTATTTCAAGAAGAGTAAAGCATGTTCAAAGAAAGGCAAACCAGAAGGGAAACAAAACATCTCAACTTCTTGAGATGTTAAACCTTCAAGCCGTTTTATCACAGCGCTAACCTGTATCACCCCAACAATAGTGTGACTTCGACGAAGATAACTTAAGAACTTTGGAAAAATTTCAGAGGGCCTCCATTCCCATAAGGAAAATGAAGCTATTACTTCTAGGCCGAATAGAAAGTAAAAAGTCAATGCTATATCCTTGAAAGTTGAAATCCATGCAGGTAGATGAAATGAAAAATTGACGTTCTCTTTCCTACATTCAATCCACGGACACATGAACACTGTAAGATATGGTTTCCAAAAGGCAAACAAAATTATACTAATCAGAGCAAATCTCATTGACCTATATGGGCATGATTAGGAAGGGCAATGCCAAACAAAGTTATACCAAAACGAAGATCCAAAATTCATAACACAATCACTACGATGAAACAAGCAAAGCAAAGTGATAAAAATCATACAAGGGAATGGCCAGACCAGTTATATACATACATACATACATACATACATACATACATATATATATATATATATATATATATATATATATATATAAAATAACGTCCATCAACTACAACAGAGAACTCATTATGTTGTGGTACCTTCACAAAGTCCAATATGCTTAACAATGAATCCTTTGTGTAGCCGGATTCCTCAATGACATGCGTCAATACTTGCTGTAGAAAAATAAAACCGATACGCAAAATATCAAACAAACAAAAAGGAAACTTAACAGACTTGGTAACTCACAGTCCCAGAACAGCTAATTCCATTAATCTTGTATAAAAGAGAAGCTGAAGTTGAGTTTTCAATCAAAAGTCCTCTTTTTTAGTAAGAAAACCAATGCATAGTCATTTGGAAAACCCGAATCCTAGATGAAAAACCAGATTATATTTTGATCAGTAACTTTAACAGATGGTGAATAAACTGAATACCTGTATACCAGGTAACTGAACATAGTCCGCATAAACATATTCACGATGAGAAAAGCTTGTGCAATATATACTTCACAGAGATAATTTTTTTTCAACATACGGACTCGTTGCATAATTAGAGTGCCCTGCCTCGCTCCCAAGTCTAACGCAAAATACTCCAGAGTTTACAAAGAATGGTTCATAATTGGATAACACAATTTTGCGAAATGTGCTTAAGCACCTGTGTAATTACTGAGAACTCGAGGTTAACATGAATTACGAAAAGTTAGTAATTTTCCCTTCAAAGATTCAAACTTTAACATGGATTGTAAGAGAACCAACCTCCCTCTGTTGCTCAGATATGAACTGCCCCGTCAAATCCCGCAAAACATCCAACATGTCGCTGAATGCGACTTTCCCATTGCCGTCTGAATCATATACCTTAAAAATAACTGCAAAACAGATACACACCCCAAACTGCAACTCAGAAACAAGACCAACAAATCAAGCAAGCTCATAGTAGCCAACATATACTTCTAATATTGAAACTACAAATGACGAAATTATTACACTCGATTTTCTGCTGCAAGCTTGCACGAGAACTGAATGCTGATAAGAATAATACGAATTCCTTAAAGTTCAATCCATCCAATATCTTCAGCAACCTCTGAAATATGAATTTGAATAAATTTGTATTAAAAAAATGTGAAAAATTAAAATAAAGCCTCAATCTTTGAGAGAGAGAAAGAGAGACTACCTGAGAGAGAGGATTGACGGCGAATTCGGGAACGGACAAGAACTCATCGGAGGAGATGAAACCTCCGCCGCTGCGATCGAGCTGGCAGAACCGCTGGTACAGAGAAACTATCTCCTGCTGCGAAACTTGAAAAACGAAACGCACAAATCGAATCGTATCGTATTGAATCGAATCGAACCGAACCAAACAGCTCAGAGACATTAAAAAAAATGAAAAATTGTTTACATGTGTTTGTGAACACGAAAATTTCCTGAAAAGAAAGAGACAAAAACGACGTGCACAAACAAATATTTGTATTTGATGATTTTGGGTTACAATCTCTCTCTATTTTGATCATCTGATTCGATCTCCGTAAGATATTGATTTGTGGATGTTTCGTTGATCCAAGGGCTGTCGAGGCTTGATCTTGGATGAACTGTTGGAAGTTTCTTCAAGGGGCCGTAGGCTTGATCTTTGAAGGTGGATTTGAGCGGATCTTCAAGGAGCCGTTGGGGCTTGATCTTGAGGATGAGTGTTTCTTCAAGGGCATCTTGAATAACGGTGATGAACGGATCTTCAAGGGCTTTTGGGCTTGATCTTGAAGAACGGTTATGAACGGATCTTCAAGGGCTTTTGGGTTTAATCTTGAAGAACGGTTGAATGTGTGGATTTGTCGACGTTGTTGATCCAAAGGGCCGTTGGGGCTTGATCTTGGATGAACGGATGATGAACGATGGTGCTTTCTTCAAGGGTCGTCGGGGCTTGATCTTGAAAGAACGATGAACGAAGAACGAAGAACACTTTCTTCAAGGGCCGTCGGGGCTTGATCTTGAATTGGTGGATGATTGTTGATCCAAAGGGCCGTTTGGGCTTGATCTTAGGATGAACGATGAACGAAGAGAGTTTTCTTGATTCTTCGGGAACCTGGATGCTTGAGAGCTTCGGAGTTTCAGAGCTTCAGAGCTTCAAGAATTTTGCCTAATGATTTTGGTTCCCCCAAATGAATGAAATTGGCTTCTATTTATAGAATTTTCCAATGCCTAATTTTGAATATAATATTCCAGATGAAATAAGTCGTTTCTGCCAGGTGTTGACATGTGTCCTGTTTGATGACTTTTCCAACTTATTTCGATTTTTTGTTTAGACATACGCTACGTGTAAAATTTATGTAATACATGAGCGTCGAAACTTTGATTTATCGGTCAACATTTATTTACCAAAATTTCGATGTCTACAAATGCCCCTACTTCAAGGCGTGTCGTATACATGTGCTTGTCACGTGTAGGAGATGCGTTTTGAAGTCCCTTACTGTAGATGTCGATCTAAGGGCCATCGAGGCTTGATCTTGAATTGGGCTGGAGATTTCTTCAAGGGCCGTTGAGGCTTGATCTTGAATTGGGTTGGAGATTTCTTGGCTTGATCTTGAATTAGGTTGGAGATTTCTTCAAGGGCCGTTGAGGCTTGATCTTGAATTGGGTTGGAGATTCTTCAATGGCTTTTGGGCTTGATTCTTGAAGGTTGACTCGAACATATTGCAAGCAGGCACGAGGTGAAGGTGACGACTTGTTGCTTTGTTCAATCTTTCTAATTCACACCTGAGCAGTTTGGTCAGCGGTATGATCTTCAAGATTGATGAGCTTTTCTTCTAGTTGGTGACTTAATCTTTAAGGATTAGATTCAAGGGTGGTGAATTGGCAAGTGCAGCCCGCAACGCCTGGCGAGTCGACCCAAGAATTTGAGGGTCAAAACGAGTCCACCGTCCAGAGTGATTGTAACCCTGATGATATGAGATACTTTTGATTTTGAAGAAGTAGTAGACGAATCAGCACGTGCTTGGTTGCACTTGTCTCCACATGCTTCAAGGTATCATTTTCGCTTCCTTTATCTGTTCCTCAGGCAGATGTGGCATCTTCTCGAGTTTCTCATCTCAGACTCCTTCTGCTGAGTTGACTGTGCATACTGCATTCTTCTCTGCTTGTTTCTTCTGCACGTTGTCTCCACATGCTGCAAGGTATCATTTTCACTTGCCTTATCTGTTCTTCAGGCAGATGTGGCAGCTTCTTTGGAAGTACATCATCAGTGGGAGACGAGTACTCAAGAGCAGCGCTAGGTAGGCAACCAGGGAAGGGTTCCAAGCAGTCGATTCCTTACCCGAGTTTGAGTGGAGGTTTCGGCATATTGTTTTCTTTATCCTTGTCTTTGTAGGTAAGAACAAGGACAAAGGAAAGGACAGGGAAAAAGCATGATATGAGATACTCTTGCTTTCTACCCTGGTGATATGAGATACTTTTGCTTTGGTGTCATTTGTTTGCTGAGGTACCCCAAGGAATAAGGAACACTGAATGACTCGAGGGGCTTCGTTGGGAAGGCATTCTCGGAGATGAAGAAAGGTTCTCAAGGATGAAGAAAGGTTCTCGGAGATAAAGAAAGGTTTTGTATGCCTGCCTTGTTATGGAAGGTGAAGGTGGACAGTTATAGGAAATTCTTTAGTACCTGTAGAGGTACTATTCTTTTACTCGTGTCGGCAACCAATGCGTGATTGATCAGTATGGCTTCACGTGCTTTCTTCTTCATAAAAAATCTTCGACAAATTGTCCGTAATTTCTGCCAAGCTGAGTATGCATGTGACAGGTGTTGAAGAGGCTGAAAAAAACTGGCGCCTCTTCGATATCTGAGATCGGCGCTTCGACAAATTACCCGTGATTTCCGCAAAGCTGAGTTTGCACGTGACGGGTGCTGACGAGGCTGAAAAAGACTGGCGCCTCTTCGATATCTGGGATTGGCGCTTCGACAAATTGCCCGTGATTTCCGCAAAGCTGAGTTTACGCGTGACGGGTGTTAACGCGTCTGGAAAAGCAAGATGCTTCTCCGATTTCTGAGCTTGCCTCTTCGATTTTTGAATCGACATTTTCGAACTCTGAGCTCATCTCTTCGATCTCTGAAATCCCGTCGACTGCTGATTTTTTATAGAGGCACGCTGTTCGTTTCAAAGCACACTTGAATTTTTGCTTGTGAAAACTCCCTTCTTGCACTTCTAAGATCTTGATTTGTCCGATCTCTTCTTTCTTCAACACTTTGAAAATGTTTGGACCATCCGACCGTCGTTTTGACTTGAATCTTGGTGAAGAGGCAGTCCCGCCTTCTCCAGACAACATATGGCGCCCATCCTTCATATCCCCTACTGGTCCTCTTACCGTTGGGGATTCGGTGGTGAAGAATGATATGACCGCTGCGGTGGTGGCCCGAAACCTTGTCACTCCCAGAGATAACAGACTATTTTCCAAACGGTCTGATGAGTTGGCTGTTAAGGATTCTCTGGCTCTCAGTGTGCAATGTGCAGGTTCTGTGTCTAATATGGCCCAACGCCTATTTGCTCGAACCCGTCAAGTTGAATCATTGGCGGCGGAAGTGATGAGTCTCAAACAGGAGATTAGAGGGCTCAAGCAGGAGAATAAACAGTTGCATAAGCTTGCACATAGTTATGCGACAAACATGAAGAGGAAGATTAACCAGATGCAGGAATCTGATTGTCAGATTTTACTTGATCATCAGAGGTTTGTGGGTTTGTTCCAGCAGCATTTGCCTTCGTCTTCTGGGGCTGTACCGCGTAATGAAGCCTCAAATGATCAACCTTCGGTGCCTCCTTCTCCTGGGGTTCCGCCGAGTACTGAGGCGCCACCTGATCGTCCTTGAAGATCACCTCTTGTAAATTTGATTTGATTTTTTTTTAAGGTATGTATAATGCAAATTTATGTAAAATTTCCAGAAAAATAAATAAAATGGACCTTCTATTTCTCTCTCTGTATTTTTTTTTTAATTTTTTTTTAATTTTATTATTATTATTTATTATTTTTATTTATTTATTTAATTTAATTTTTTATTTTTTTCTTTTTCTTTTGGTGCTGGATGCACCAAGTTCCATCATCATTTTTTTTTTTTTTTTTTTTTTTTACAATTTTTTTCTCTTTCTGCACATAGTGCCCATGCACCACCTAGAAACTTTTGATCTACCATGGGGCTGTTCCCTATCTTTGATCCACCATCCCATTTTCTATTATTTTTTTTTTGTATAAATTTCGATGATGGGCTGGGGAATTTGCAGGGAAGGATGAAGACGAACTTAGAGCTGGAGCTTGAGGAAGAGCTTCTCGGCCGTCTAGTCGTTTGACAGCGGTCTTTGAAGTTGTTGGCAGCTGCGAGGCAAGAGACGGAGGAGATGGAGGTGACCTTGATGTCGGATCTAGCTAGAACCCAGAGCACAGCCACTGAGCCCAACCACTGAGCACAGCTGCTGCACACCCGTTGTACTGCCACCAAGCACTGCCACTGCGCATCCATTGCACTGTCAATTGCTGCAAAGGATTATGTTTAACGGCGGAGACGCTGCCCTATTTGCCATGCTATGCCGACGTGCTTCACACAATTAATCATCCAGAATTGTTAAACATTCCATCTGGGTTTATCACAAAACAGAAGAAAAAAAGATCCATCCATGCCAAACACCAATCTGCCATCTTTTCAGGATTTGTCACGACATCATCAGCCAAAACCTGCTTGGTCCGCTCGCAGATTGGGGGAGAGGAAGAGTTGGCAGAGCTGCTGTAACACTGGAAAACGGAGGACGTTGACGAGTCCTCTAAGTTGTTCTTGACGTTGGTGCTGGAGAAACCTGTCTCTCTCATGACTCTGCTGACACTTGGGTCGTCAATGATGGAGATGATGAGTTGCTCGAGCTCGACTTTGATGGTTAAGAGCGGTTGCTGCTGCTCGATGCAGCCTCTTCTCTGATGGGCTTGGGCTCTCTTGAGGGCTGCGATGAGGGAGATGCCGTCGCCGTCCGATTTGTCGCGCCAGCCAACGTGGGTGGGGCTGGAGGCGATGTTGGTGTTCCCGGCAGGCTTGCAGTGGTGCACGTGGGGATGATGATGTTGGAGACATACTTGAGGGTTATGCATCCACCGCCGGTGACGTGGACGTTGACGCCGCAGTCGTCGATGGTCTTGAAGCTGTTGACAATGAGCTCGTATTTGAGCTTAATGGTCATGTCGGCCGAGAAGATGATCCAAAGGGATTCGTTTTGGATGACGGCGTGGCGGAGCGTGCCCGGAGTTGGGTTCGCTGGGTTGGAATCGGAGGAGTCGGTGACTATGTAGATCAGGCCCCCTTTGCCCCCCAAGGCGTCCATGCCGAACCCAATGCCGCAATCGGCGAGCCTTTGGCAGTTGTTGCTCCAGTCCTCGCAGCGCCAGCAGTCGTCAATTGGGTTACTGCTGAGGCACTTGCTTCTTGCAGGGTTCGAATTGGGGAAGGCTTTCTTGGATGACCCAGGAGGCCTCTGCTTTGGTTGATGTGCATCTTGGCTACTTCCTCTGCAGCCGCATGCAGCAGATCCCAGGTGACCAGCGGCGACTGGGCGTTAGGGCTTCCACGGCTTGAGACCTGTCCGCAACCGCTCCCGACTGCGTAGAGAGTTGATTGGGGAAAACCAGAAGCGACCCAACCCTTTGGCTTCTCGAATGCGAAAACAGAGTCGGAGTATTTGAACTCGTCGTCGAGAGTGGAGCGAGCCATTTGGCTGGTCAACCCAACGAGGTAGTCTTCCTCGTCGCTCTCAGTCTCGCTCGACTCGACCGGCGAACTAAAATCCGACGAAACCCCAAAAGCGCTGCCGTAAGGAAACTCAAACGGGAACAGAGCTTTCGGAGCATCAATGTCAAACCCATACCCGCCACTTTTCTTGGTCTTTGAGTTGAGCTCCATGGCCGGTGCGTCGTTGTCGTTGAGAATCTGGGTCGGGAGCCAAAACGCAGCGTCTAACGTATCGTCCATCTGGGTAGTCAGGCACCCAGCAGATATCGAGAAGTAGTGGTTAGTGAGAGTGAGAGCTGCTGGGCTGCACTGCGGGCCGAGGAGAAATGAAGAAGAAGACAAGCTGGAGTTTGGGCCCGTTGTGGCTTGAGCCCTTTTGCTGCTGGGCCGAGACACTAATGAGGATGGGTTGCTGACGACAGCCCGGCTTTCAAGCTACGCATATATACACACACACACACACACACACATATATATATATATATATATATATATAAATATATAATACTTGTGTATTCCTTTTTTTTTTTTTTTTTTTTTTTTTTTTTTTTTTTTGTAAATACATAAACATATGTATTCATCATTTTTTTTAAATAAAATTGACTTTCTTTAATAAAACATTTATTTATATTTTGATGTGACTGAACTCGAAATTTTGAATATTCAAGCTGCCTACGTACCCTTCCAAAGAAAAGATCAAGTCGTAACGTAGTTCAAATACATACATATTTTTTTTGGTATTTTCTTTTTGTGCCGTTTGCAGTTTTAACTCATGCAGGCAAAAAGTTTTGGTGTCGTTTGCAGTTTCAACTCGTGCAGACAAGGAGCATTTGGTGCTGTGTTGCAGTTTCAGCTCGTGCAGGCAAGGAGCATTGGTGTTGCCTTTTATGCTCGTGCAGACCAGGAGCTTGGGGCCATGCATTTTTTAGGCTCGTGCAGGCGAGGAGCCTTGTGTCCTACAGTTTAGGCTCGTGTGGACAAGGAGCTTCGGTTCGTGCAGTTTAGGCTCGTGCGAACAAGGAGCATTGGTTCGTGTAGTTTAGGCTCGTGCAAACAAGGAGCAGTTGTGGTTCGTCAAGCGATCTGGGAGAGTTGTTCCTTGCAATCTTCATAGCAAGGAGCCTTGACTGAGTAGTTGAAGAAGTTTTTAGGAAAGAAATCGCGCATTGTGATGGCAATAGACGATCTTTGTGTCGCAATTTCATCATTTTCAACACGTTCACGTTGCTTTGAAGTTTGACAAGAGCTGCTTTGCCCCCTTTCTGATTGGTGCACTTGTGGAGAAGACATATGCTTCTTGTGCAATTTCTTAGGAGTGACTTGAGTCCATCCTTCAACTTTGCTCATCTTGGAAGATGCCCCCGGAGGTTGAGGTAAAAATTTTGAGTAGGAAGAGCCAGAAGTGATGGTAGTATAGTTTGACTTCACCACATCGTCAAGATCTAGCTCGATGATTCCTTTCTGGGCCAGCTTCATGATGAGATCTTTCAGCACGAAGCACTTTTCTGTCGGATGACTGATGAAGTGGTGGAATTTACAGTACCTTGGACTGTCGGTGCGATTCATCTCTTCTGGCCGTCTGCACTCAGGCAAGCCGATCACCTTCTTTTCCAGCAAGTCTTCTAACATGGCAACCACATCAGAGTCGGGGAATGGATAAGTTTTCTCCTCAAGCTCCTTCAAAGTGCGTCTATGCATCTCTTAATCACGAAAAGCTTCAGCTTGAATCGCTTTGCCTCGTGTAGGGATTTTGACTGGAGCTGTGTTGACCGTCATTGCTTCCTTGGTGGATTTCCACGCCGCCTTCTCCACCTTTGTCTCGAGAACTTTGTCGTTCTTGTAGTCGGCGATCGGCTCCTTCTTCCCATGATGGGCGATGCTTAACTCCATATCATGGGCGCGGGTGGCTAGCTCTTCGAAGGTCCGTGGTTTGATGCCTTGAATGATGTATTGTAAACCCCATTGCATGCCTTGGATGCACATCTCGATTGAAGAGGTTTCCGAGAGCCTGTCTTTACAGTCGAGGCTTAGAGTGCGCCATCTGTTGATGTAGTCAATGATTGGCTCGTCCTTCCACTGCTTTGTGCTCGTTAGCTCTAGCATGCTCACAGTGCGGCGGGTGCTGTAGAAGCGGTTGAGGAATTCCCGCTCCAATTGCTCCCAGCTGTTGATGGACTCAGGCTCTAGGTCCGTGTACCATTCAAAGGCGTTTCCTTTCAGTTAGCGCACAAACTGCTTGGCGAGGTAGTCTCCCTCCGTCCCCGCATTGTTGCAAGTTTCGACGAAATGTGCAACGTGCTGCTTTGGGTTTCTTTTTCCATCAAACTGCATGAACTTTGGTGGTTGATATCCCCTCGGCATCTTTAGGGCATCAATCTTCTTTGAATAAGGCTTTGAGTACAACCCGGAGGTATTTGAGCTCCCTTCGTACTGTGCCTTGACGGTGCTGGCGATCAAGGAAGAAAATATCGGTAATATCGGAAATATCGGTAGTCCGAAAACACGGAAATATCGATGGAAATATCGGGATAATATCGATATCGATAAAAATTACATGGAAACCACGGAAATTGTAAGAAAAACTTGGAAATTTTTATTGAAACTTTGCAGGATGTTTATTTAGTCAATTATCTATTAGTTTATCACAAAAAAATTGGAAGGAAATGCATTGCATGATGGATTTAACTGATTTAAGTTGATTATATAGCGAGCTGACAAACATTGTGAGTGTAGAAAATATGTAGTAATTAATGAAAGAAATTTAAACACACCAATTGGGGCTTATTGCGGCAAGTTTTTTAGATATGACATCGCATCAAGTCGTCTTTTATGTTAATTTGTAATCTTAACTGGTTTTGTTGTGTTGTGTCAATTAGTTAAATTAAGCGGTACATCCACTTGGGGCTTATAAACATTTTAATTCTCTTTAAAAATCTAAGGGCATTTAATAAGGATTTAAGTGATTCTTTAAAGTTTAAGGGGTATTCGATCATGATTTTTAAGAAATTCATACATTCCAAATGTATTCATTTAGAAATTGATTCGAAGAGATTTTTAAAAAGTTGGGAAACTCGAAAAAATTAAAAATATTTCACATAATATTTTAAACATTCTCAAATCGCTTCCTGAAAATTTGAGGGAATTCACTTAAAATTTTACATAAAAGTTTTAAAAATTATTAAACTTCATCAAAATTCATAAATTTTTAAATCTATTATAATCTTTAAAATCAGAATGGAGTAAAAAATTTGGGGCCTGAAACTTGGTTAAATCCCTAAAGTGCCAATTGAAAAGCGTAAGAAGAGAAGACAGAGAGAACGAGAGGCTCCCCGTCTTCCTTTGTGCTAGTAATCCATGGCGTCAACGAGTCAACGATCCCTCCTCCTCATCGCCCTCCTCTCCCTCTTCGCAATCTCCGCCACCGCATCAAGGCCCTGCAAAACCATCTGCGTTTCCTCCTACTCATTCTCCCTCCGCCGCCTCCCCTCCTCCTCTTCCTCCTCCGGCTTCGTCACCATCGTCACCGAGATTAGCCAGATCTGCCCCGTCCACCTCCACCCCACCCGCTTCGACGACGGCTTTGTCCCACACCCTCACCACCACGACGCCAGCGAGAAGCGAACATCGGCACCCATTCTCCTCCTCCCCATGGAGCCTGCCCCGCCGGCGCCGCGCTCGCCTCCGTCTCTGTTCCACGTCTGCTTCAACCCAAGACCACGCCTGCTTCGCCATGGGGACAGACCACGAGTTGTGACTTCGACAACGGCAGGGGAATCGGCAACGACAGGGGAATCGGCGTCGTTGAGGCGCAGATCTTGGGTTTGAGCATGGATTGCAGAGAGATCTGGGCAGCTGGGGGGACGACGACGACGGATCCACGACGATTTTTTCGATAATATCGAAAATATCGCGATATTATCGATATTATCGATAATATCGCGATATTTTGACGATAATGATACGGATATGTGGGAAAATATCGGTACCTCAGAAAAACGATAATATCGGCGAAATATCGCCGATTTTATCGATATTTAATACCATGCTGGCGATCATCTCTTGCAGTTGTTGGATAGAAAGAGATCTCATGAGT